TTCACAGTTTGTGGTCTCTGCTGTGTCAGCATCGAAACATGTAAGAGACAACATTCTGAGCTTCTTCTTCACTGTGAAAACATGACTGGAACTGAATGCCTTTGAATGTGGCCATTATGATAGCAGATATAGTTCCTTCCTGTTTGCAGTCTTTATGCTAAGCTAGGCTAAGTGAAGGCACCGTGTCTGTGGTGAAACTGAGGATGTTGGACTGTCTCTTTAAATAAACACGTCAGGAGCTGATGGTGTTGATTTCCGTGTCTCCTCTGTCTCCTCTGTCTCCTCCTGTAGTGCTCATTGAGATGCAGGATGAAGAGTTCAGACAGAAGAGCTCTCCAGGTCAGCTCCCACACACACACACACATCGAGCAGAGCTACTGTTGTCCAGTATCAGGGTTGTTCTGTCCAGTAGATCAGGGGACAGAGGACAGTAGGTCAGGGGTCATGTGGTCCTGGAACTTGGACCAACATGTTTCTGGTCCTGTTGCTGTTACACAATGTTGGTCCACAGGTATGGGATTGTGTTTCAGGTAGGGGGCGCTGAGTGACACTGATGATGTTGTTGGTTTCAGACGCCAGTCTGCCCGGAGAAGACATGGCTGACGACAACAAGAGCTGCCACTGTGAGTTTGTACCCCAGGATCTGACCCCGGGGTTAAAGGTCACCATCAGAGCCATCTGGTACGAGTTTCTCTTGATCCGTTTCTCTGCTCCTCAGTCATCATCGCTTTTCTCACCTTCATTTGCTGTTATTCTGCACTGAATCATTTTTATTCATATTATTGTTTACATTTTTTTATTGGTTTGTGCTCACCCAGGGTCAAAGGTCACCATCAGCTGTTGGGTAAGAGTTAGTCTGATGTCCAGTTAGGTTCATTGTTTTCTGTTGTGTTGCTCCTCCTGTCATGCTGTTTGGTAAGACATTCTTTATTATTATTAATGTTGGTGTCCCCAGCTCGTCTCTTGTTGCTGATCTGATCTGTGTTGGTTCTTCTCTGATGGACCAGTTGTTCAGTTCTTTAGTCTGAAGTAGATTCTGGATCAGTTCAGGAAGTGGATCCAAACTAAAGACCAAGGACTCTCAGTTCATCAGAAGAATAAAAGAACAAATGTGTGTTTGTTGTCAAGTTTCGTCTTCAGCCATAAAGAAGAATTGATAGAACCTGTGACTCTAACTCGTCAAATCAACATGAGGACTTTGGATCAGAACCAGAACATTTTATAGTGATGAACTGACCAGAAGTTTGAAAACAGTTGAAAGACTGTCCTGGTTTAAAAAAGAATACAACTGAACAGAGAATTTCCCCTGTGTGACGTGTGCACACACAAAACACACATCACTATTTCCATAATGTCATTTTTTCTGGCCCAGACAAACCTGACCCAGCTCTGACTGAAAGCTTTATCAAAAAGGAAGGTTTGAAGTTGACTCTTAAAGGTTCAGTGTGTAGAATGTAGGGACATCTAGTGGTGAAGTGTCATGTTGCAGCCTAATCCCCCCCCTGAGAACCTGTGGCAGCTTCAGTCATAAAAACTCAATAGGTTTAATTTGTCCAGTCTGAGCTGCTGTAAAAAACATGGCTGCCTCTGTGGAGACACACTGGAGCTTTGAACGTAGAGCGGGAGTCTGCCTCCAGAACTGAAACTGAGATGATTCCACAGGAGAGGAGCTTGATGCTCTGGCTCCTCCTCTCCCTTCAGAGACTCCAGGGACAACAGACTGACCTGCTGGAGCCTGATAATAAGGAAATACAATAATCAAGTCTGGAGTCAAAGACCTGGACTAGTTTTTCTGCATGTCTTAGAGACATGTCTGATTTTGGATGTTACTTAAGTGAAAGCACGCAGTCCTAGAAATGTGTTTTAAATAACACATTCCTGATGTTTCGTTGGAAGCGAGGGTAAAGTCATCAAGTGCAGCTTCATCATTAGAGAATGTATCTCTAAGGTGTTGAGGGCCGAGTATTAGGACCTCTGTCTTATCTGAGTTGAATAAGAGCAAACTGCAGCTCATCCAGGTTTTTATGTTCGTTTAGCTGATGAGTTTCTTCTGGTTTCATAGATGATTATTTCTATGAACAAAAGTAAAGTTCACCTTTAACATGTTCTGGGTCTTTTCCATGTTGGACGTACACGCAAGTCTATTCTGTGAAGACTCTGTAGGTGAATGTAGTCTTCAGAGACCAGTTAAGACCTACTGGAAACCACATGCCAGCAGGGGTCCTCGCTGTCACAGCTGACTTCCTGTTTCCTCTGTCACAGCATCATGCGTTTCATGGTGTCTAAGAGGAAGTTTAAGGAGAGTCTTCGTCCATATGATGTCATGGATGTGATCGAACAGTATTCAGCCGGTCACCTGGACATGCTTGCCCGCATCAAGAATCTCCAGTCCAGGTGAGACTCTGACCTTTGAGGTTGCTCCAGGTTGTTTCCTGTCAGAGGCTTTAGTGTCAGCGCTCTGTGTCCCGACTTGCAGAGTGGATCAGATTGTTGGCAGAGGAACACCAACTGCAGACAAAGACCGTCCCAAGGCAGCCAATGAGGAGCTTCCTGAGGATCCGAGCATGATGGGACGGTTGGGGAAGGTGGAGAAGCAGGTAACCAATAACAACCAGTGTGTTAAGCTGCGCAGGTTTTACTGATGCAGCTTCAGCTTTGACTGTGATTGGTCCTCTGTCACTCATGTGACCCACAGGTGCTGTCCATGGAGAGAAAGTTGGACTTCCTGGTGAACATCTACATCCAGCGAATGGGAATCCCTCCGGCTGAGACAGACGCCTACTTTGGTTCCAAGGAGCCAGACCCAGCTCCACCCTACCACAGTCCAGTGGATCAGCTGGAGAAGAGCCAGTCAGTCCCCAAGATCCTGCAGTAAGTGTCGCTGGTTACTGAAGACTACATCAGACCAGTGTCGGACCAGAACAAGAACCAGTGTCACACGTTGTTCACATGTTGTTTACGTGTTGTGCAGGGTGTTGCCTAGTGACCAAGCGGAGAAGACTCGTCATGCGACTAAGATGGTTCGCTCCAGCAGCTCCACGGGTCACAGAAATTACAATACCCCCACATGCCCTCCCTCCACCTCCTGGCAGCCAATCAGCTCCCAACTCCCTCAACAGGCCCCGCCCCGTCCACAGCGCAGCCACGGCAACACACCAAGTCCGGTGGGAGACGGGTCACTGGTTCGACTCCCACCTCCTCCGGCCGGAGAGAGACATGGCGGGAACCGATCGAACCGGCAAAGCACGGGAGAGCGAGGGGGGGCCGAGAGAACGGAGAAGAGAGGGGAGGGGATCAATGGGACAGGGGGGGGAGGGGAGGAGATGAAGCTGAAAAGTGATACGTCCGTCTCCATCCCATCCGTCGACCACGAGGAGCTGGAACGTTCCTTCAGTGGGTTCTCCATCTCTCAGTCCAGAGAGAACCTGGACTTCCTCAACAACAGCTTCTACTCCTCCAACCTTGACCGGCGAGGAGGTGGAGGCTCCGCCCTCTGCGCTGCCGTCCACCCCTACATTGCTGAGGGCGAGTCGGACTCCGACTCTGAGCTCTGTGCCCCATCACCACACTCGGACCAGGCCTGGACCGGAACCAAGTAGAGCTGGAGGTGAACCGGAGCAGAACCAGCAGAAAACTAAGAACCTCTAAAATGTGAATGAAAACGTCAGAGACGAGACTTTAGCACCAGCTGAGAGTTAAGCATCATGGGAAAAGAAGACGTCAGTGTTTTCATCTGTTCCGCAGATGTTTGTCTTTTCCGTCACCGATTGGTTCACTGCTGTGACAAATTAGGACTCATATTAACTCTAGTTTAAAAAGTTTATTGATCAATTTATTCGTTCAATTTTAAAACTTTTACACTGAAAGTCAACCACGTCACCATGACAACAGACTGTTGTCGACTTCCTGCTCAGAATTCAAACAGGTTCGGTCATTTTGTTAGAATTACTTTTATTTTGGATTCAATGACTCAAAGATTCACAAAAATGTTCTCGTCACTGCGACATTTTGTTTTCTAACTAGCCAATAAAGCTAACGTGAATCTGTCGTACATGCAAACAGACAGACGCTAATGCAGCTTACATCAGAAACTTAGCTCGTTCTCGCCCCTGAAGGTCCTGCTGCCTAGTTACGGTTGCTAAGCTGTGACAGTCAGTGGGAGGGGCTTTAAATGTTGATGTAGTTACGGATCAATGCAAATCATGACGTCATGACAACATGAATATATACGACGTAATCATCTTTTCATTGTTTTAGAATCTTTAATCTCAACAGGAACGTTAATATAACAATAATGTTTCTGAGTCAGTTATTGAATCTGTCCAGCAGGGGGCAGTCAGTGTGATCATTCTCTTACAGGAAGCTGATAAAACACTTACCAAAATAAAAGTCTAGTGTATTTAACTTTGAGCTCCAGGTGAAGAGTGGAAACAATTTGTCCTGAGGGTGGCGCTACAGGTGTAATTAAGTCTATCCCCTGAAACATAACCTTTGATTGGCTGATGGAAGGAACTTACTGTTCGCTCATTAACTCATTAATATGAATGTAGAACGCTTCATTTACTGTTTCCATGGAAACATTTCATCACTACCTGACACTTTTCTAGTTTTTACAGAAAAAGACTCTTTATTTTTGTTTTATTTTCTGGTACAATCAGTTTATATGAAAACATTTCATTTTCCTCTCGTTTCTTTAAAACAAAGTGTTTGTTTAAAATGTCTGAAAAACTATTTAAAAAACAACTAACCACAATAAACCTTTATTCATTCTTTACAAAGACGTCTCTCTGCTTCATTTAATATCACAACATTTTAAAATAACACTTTTGCTTTAACTGACATTTTCAATCTCTTTTTTTTTAAGTTGAATCGTTATGGTCATTACATAATTCGATGATGTTGTCATGACGACAAACAACACCAAGACAGTGATTCTATTTGAACGACTGCAGCTTTTTTGAAAGTTCTTTAATAAACAGGAAACGATTTACACAGTGAGAATAGAGCGATGAGGCGGCCATCTTGTGTGTCACTTCTTCTTCTTGTACCTGATGGAGGGACAGAGCGTCACTTTAAGATAATAAAGTTAATTCACCAACTCACTACACAGCCTCGTCTCTGTGGGTCTATAAAGATACAGTGAACTCATCAGCACAGAAAAAGAACGTAAACAACAAATGTTAATTTGACACTTAATGAGAGCAGAGTGCATTATGGGATATAACGTCCGTTAGTGACCATTGGTTTTAAGCTGCTTTTCACAGTGCATTATGGGAAACTGTGAGTCCACCATGCAGGAGAGGAAAAATGTAATGAATTAGTGAGACGCTGACAGACGATGTGAAACTCACCTGGAGGCACCAGAACGCTTCCTGTCCAAGCCCAACCGCTTCCTGTCCTCAAAGGACGGTCTGTAAACAGGTGAGACAGGTACAGACAGTGAGACAGAGTCGAGACAGAGAGGTAGAGTCTCATGAGACAGACAGGTACAGACTGTCTCACCCAGCTCTGTAGTGTTTCAGAGTCTTTCCGCTGGTGTTGGTCAGTTCTTTATCAAAGGCCGACTTCCTGCCTGCTTTTCCAGGTTTCTGATTGGCTGCTACACAGAGACAGTTCAGTTCAGTGTGTGTGTGTGTGTGTGTGTGTG